TGCAGTCGATGCACACAGTGGAATATTATGCAACCACAAAGAGGAATGAAGGACTGCCACATGCAACAGCATGAATGAACCTTGAAAACATTATGCAGAGGGAAAGAAGCCAGACACAAAGGGCCACATACTGTATGGTTCCGCTTACATGGAATGCCCAGAATACGTAAATCCATAGGAACAGAAAGCAGATTTGTGGTTGCCCAAGGCGGGGGGTGGGGGGTGGGGGGGGGAATGTGGAGCGACTGCTAAACCTGTACGGGATTTCCTTCTGGGGTGAGGAAAACGTTCTGAAACTAGATGGTGGTGATGGTTGCACAACGTTGTGAAGGGACTACATGTCACTAGCGGTGAATTTCACGTTATGCATATTTTTCAACAGTAAAAACAAAAGAATTGGGAACTTCGTCAGGGCTGCTGCAGATGGATGCCATGCAGGTTGTTTCCTTCATAAGGTGCCCAGATCGGAGTAAGTCTGAAATCCAGACCGTGCTCTGCCCCACGAGCTGTGACCCCTGGTCCCCTTGCAGAGCAGATGCCTTTTTCTGATTCACACAAAGACACCATTTGGGCTAATGCAGAACTTCATAGACAAGATGGCATGAGAAGTAAGCAAGCTCGGTTGATGGCATCACTTTACTGCAATTTTCAGTATTCCTCGCTGTGTATCTCCCAGTATCCGGAGAGTGCCACAGTCCGCATCCTTCTCCATCCTGAGGGTGCTGTGTCTGAAAATCCACAGTGCGTCGTTCAGTGCTTAATTTGTAAAGCCAGCATAAATCACTGGCCTAATCATCCGTCCATTACGATGAGCTCAAATTGTCTCACCATCAAGAGAGTGATCTGGTTGTTTTGCTCACATTGGAAAATGAAGAGACAAAGAGGCAAAAGGCCGAGAGAAGAACTCTAGAACAAGTCATTTTTCTGATGTTAGGACAAATCCACAAGGTTAAAGATAGGAACTTTCTGCCTGCACTCATCAAAGGTATTTTTTAAAAAGCCATTTATGTTTTGGGGATCAGTGAGTTAGAACAGAGCAATAATAATCCTCTTGCAGCTATGAAGATTTGGTTGTGTCCTGGGGGTTAGTGTTCTGAGCTTTTTCCCCTCCTTGAAGAAGTCAGTAGGAAAAAAGGAAAAAAGAAAAGAAAGCAATGCCCTGGGAAAACAGTACATTGAGCCTCTTTAAGGACAAGTCAATGGTAGTTTTTTTCAGTTTCAGGGTCATCGACCACCCCTCTACCTTTGAATCTGCTGTTTCCCAACTTGCGTCCCCATTCATAATGCAACTTAGAAAATATTGGGGGCAGGTCATTCCTAATACAACAGGATGTGGAATGAGACTCTTCCTGTCAACCCAGGACTACAGCTAAGGCTTCGAAGGGAGGGCAGTGGGTAACGATACTCCATCCTTCCATTAAGAGGCAGCCAGACTGGTCCTCTGACCATCAGTAACCATCAGCCTCCAGCCGATGTAAGACAAGTTCAAGATTTTATCCAGAGGAGGTTTTGCTGACAGGTCTTTGTAGGGGGTTTTCTTCTCCCCTGCCAACCCCCAAGCCAAGAGAGGAGAGTTCAAAGAAGAATCACCCATGAGACTCATGAGACTGGGCACACTGAGGGGGAGTGGCTGGCATCTCACTGCCCGCTGAAGGCTGCCTGGGGTGAGGAGAGAGGGCAGCAGGGCAAAGGTGCATCCTGTTTCTCATGAGCTAGAGCATATATTAGACTTGAGTCATCCTGAAAAACTCACCCAGCCTGCCAGGCAAGGGGCCCTCAGAGAATGTAGGGTACTTCCTGGGGTATGAGTGGAAAAGTGGTGTGCGAGAGGTCACAGCGTGTGCTTTGAGTCCCCACGTGGTCCCCACGGAGGCCTCTGAAGATACCCCAGTTCACCCCCATGTGAAAGAGCCAGCATGTGAGGGCTCATCAGGATGTGGCGGGGGCGGGATCTGACACTCGAGCGAGAACTACACCTGTTCTCGCCTGTTCCATCTGAGGCCCCTTGTCCACTCATTCCTTTGCTCCTGTACACCAGCAAGGGGAACTGGAGAGGAGGCAGGAAAGGACACGCCTGCCTAGTCTCCACACTGCAGATTCCTGAGCCATCTGTGGTCAGACCAGAGGGGCGGGGAAGAGGTACCACACTGGATGTGAGAATGAAGTTTTGGTTGGACTAGAATGGCCTTCTAATATTTAAATTTGAGACTGTTCTTATAGTTGAAACTAAAAGCTATGGGATCTAATGAAGTCTTGCCAACTTCAGCTCATTCAGTAGCCCAGTAACGATAATTTATTTCCACTGTTGAGGAAGCTGCTCTGAGACATTCGTCATTCAGAGCTCGAATGCAGTTTCTTTTGATTTATTTATTTATTTATTTACTGTTGGCTGCGTTGGGTCTTTGTTGCTGCATGTGGGCTTTCTCTAGTTGTGGCGAGCAGGGGCTACTCTTTGTTGTGATACACGAGCTTCTCTTGTTGTGGAGCACAGGCTCTAGTCTCACGAGCTTCAGTAGTTGTGGCACGCAGGTTCAGTAGTTGTGGCGCATGGGCTTAGTTGCTCCGCGGCATGTGGGATCTTCCCGGACAAGGGCTTGAACCTGTGTCCCCTGCATTGGCAGGCGGATTCTTAACCACTGCACCACCAGGGAAGCCCTAGAATGCAGTTTCTGAGATGAAATACAATTCTCATCAGTTCACTCCCAGGCAGGGAGCTGCTTCTGGGGGACAGAGAAACCACAGAACTCTCGGCAGTCTTCTAGGGCTGGAGAGACAAAACCAGGGACTTGATAGGCTAATATCCCAGAGAGAAGGAGTGGGGGGACAGAAAAGTGAGCTTGATAGATGGCAACATCCCCCTTAAGACAGTCGGCAGATTCTGAAACAGTGCAGGCCAAGAAGCTAAGAAACCAAGCAAAAGGTTCCTGAAAAACAGAGCGGGGGAACTTCCCTGGCTGTGCAGTGGTTAAGACTCCGTGCTTCCAATGCAGGGGGCAGGGATTCGATCCCTGGTTGGGAAAGTTCTGCCTGCTGCACAGTGCGGCCAAACAAACAGACAAACAAAAACAGAGCAGAGTTTCCAGCAGTCTTGCCATTAGAACTCAGGACTGGCGGGAGGGGCCTCGGTGAACACCTAAACTTCTCAGTTGGAAATCCTGAAAGGCAAGGCCTTAGAAGTGAAGGCCAGAGTTAAATGGTGTCTTATCAAAACTGCAACCCAGCCTCCATCCAGCTCAGCCTCTGATTGGATTAAGATGGTCAGTCCTCATGCCATCTGTCTTGCAGAGAAAGGGTGAACCTTCTCCAGAGTTAGATAACATCACCTGGAGACTCTAGATATTTTTTTCATGCACAGACATTGTATGGCATTCCACAAAAATTACAAGGCCTGCCAAGAGACAGGACCAAATCACTGAAAACAAAGAGAAAAGTAGTCAGTAGAAATAAACCCCACAGGTGACCAAGGCATTGGAATTAGACAGGGCCTTTAAAATAACCATAATTAATATGTTCAAGAAAAACAAAGCAGAAGATGGAGAAAATGGATGAAAAGAGAATTTTACCAGAGAATTGGAATCTATAAACTTCATAGTCCAAAAGATTGAGAGCATAGAGAAGACACTTGGGCTCCTCATCGACAGGGGGATTTTGAAAATGCTGGTTCAGCTCTATACAAGCCATAAAACCCTACAACCCACAGTCTGAGAAAAAGTTTGCCACCATGGGTTGTCATTCTCTCTGCTTCTTAAGTGGCTTCCTTTAAGGAATACATATTGTACCCTGAACTCTTGAGTCTACTCTGCCCCATAAGCCCAATCCCTGGAATGGAGCTCTGTTAAAGAGGTGCCTTTTGCTAATTATCCTAAATACATCCTTTGGGCAATGTGTGATGCAAGTACTATTAGTTAAGATGGTCAGGGAGATGAAGCCTATTTGAGTTGACAGTAAGTGACAGGAGCCAAACAGGAGAGGATTAGGGGGAAATTTGACCTGGGCAGAGGGGACATAGAGTACATAGACCTCTGAGGCAAGACTGTGTTTGGCGACTTAACCTGGGGATAACAAACTTTTCTCTAAAGGGCTAGATAGTAAATATTTTAGCTGTTCCAAGTCATACAGCGTCTGCTGCAACTAAATTCTGCTGCTATAATGCAAAGGTACAGACACATAATAAATAAATGGGTGGTAGTGTCCCAATAAAACTTTATTTATGAACACTGAAATTAGAATTCCTTGTTAATTTTCACGTCACAAAATATCCTTTTGATTTTCCCCCCAACCATTTAAAAACGTAAAATCCATTCTTTTCTTTTTTTTAATTTTTATTGCAGTATAGTTGATTTACAATGTTGTGTTAGTTTCTACTGTACGGCAAAGTGAATCAGTTATACATATACATATGTGCACTTTTTTAGATTCTTTTCCCATATAGGTCATTTCAGAATATTGAGTAGAGTTCCCCGTGCTATACAGTAGGTCTTTATTAGTTATCTGTTTTACATATAGTAGTGTGTATATGTCAACTAAAATCTTCCAATTTTTCTCTCCCCTCCCTTTCCCCTTTGGTAACCATAAGTTTGTTTTCTACACCTGTGACTCTATTTCTGTTTCGTAAATAAGTTCATTTGTACCATTTTTTTAGATTCCACATGTAAGTGATATCATATGATCTTTGTCTTTGTCTGACTTCCTTCACTCAGTATGACAATCTCTAGGTCCATCCATGTTGCTGCAAATGTCACTATTTCCTTTTTCATGGCTGAGTAATATTCCATTGTATACATGTACCACATCTTCTTTATCCATTCCTCAGGTGATGGGCATTTAGGTTGCTTCCATGTCTGGCTATTGTAAACAGTGCTGCAGTGAACATTGGGGTGCATGTGTCTTTTCGAATTATGGTTTTCTCCAGATATATGCCCAGGAGTGGGATTGCTGGATCATATGGTAGCTCTATTTTTAGATCTTTCCGCAACCTCCATGCTGTTCTCCACAGCGGCTGCACCAGTTTACATGCCCACCAACAGTGCAGGAGGCTCCCTTTCCCCACACCTTCTCCAGCAGTTGTTTGTAGCGTAAAATCCATTCTTAACTCTGGGACCGTAATTTGCTGATATAAGGGGGGTTAGGTAGACGGGGATCAGACCATGCAGGACATGTAGGACATGGTAACAATCAGATTGAAGCAAAGCCCCTTTCACTCTCCAAATGTAAAGCCACCCCTCAGGGCAATTGCAGGCCGGGGTGACAGTTCTGGGAGGCAGCTTCCTACAGCTCATGGGAGATCACCAGGTTTGTTTCATTTTCCCCCAGTATCAAGAGACGACAAGCAAAAAGGCAGAAGCGCGCGCACCCGGGCGCGCGCGCGCACACACACACACACGCGCGCGCACACACACACACAGATACACACACATACACACACAGAGCTAGAAAGCCAGAGAGGACGTGCCCAGGTTCACACTGACGTTTCTCCAGCATGCACTACGGGGTTTAAAGTTGGACGCACACCTGCTCCCTGCGGGAGTGCACCTGCTGAGCCGCGCTCCGTCCTCGTCTCGCGAGAGCGGTGCCGTAGTAGTGGCCCCCACCCCCACCCGGCCACCAAATCCCTCTCCCCGCCCCCTCGGCCCAGCCTCCGCGCTGTAGCACAGTCCCTGCCATCTCCACCGCCCCCGGGAGCAGCCTCGGCCCGCCGTGCGCGCTTCCCCCGCGCCCCCGCCCGCCGACTGCTCGCTCGCACGCCCGCCCGGTAGTAATTTCACTTTGCCACGCGAGCTCCGCATCGCCTAGAAATCCCGCCCCCCGCTCCCCCTGCAGCCGCCGGGAGTCGTCCCTTTTCCCGGCCAGGTGCGCGAGCCTGCGCGCTCCTCCTCCGCCTCCTTCAGCGGGTCCCTGGCGAGCCGGAGCCGGGGCCGGGGCCCGGCGGGGGCGGATGCGCGCACCGCGCCTCTCCACCAACCCGCTCCGCTGCAGGTCCCTTGCTCTCCATCCCTCGCCGGCGCTCCCTTGCCCCCCCACCCCCCTTGATTGACAGGCAAGATGTCGGAGTGGAGCGAGGCAGGAGCGAATGCAGCAGCCGTCACCCCCGGAGCCCGGCGGCGGCAGCAGCAGCAGCGCGACGACGAGCCAGCAACCAGCCGCAGTCGCCGCCGCAGCCGCGGGAGCAATGCAGACAGCATCTTGAGAACGCGCTAAAGCACCACAAACGGTGGACAATGCCGTGTCACTGCAACTGGGAGGGGGGCAAACCAGATTTTTTTTGACATAAAAGCCAGCCAGCCAAAAATATATAATTTTGTCCTTCACGGAGCCGGTGTGTAAAGAGTGAGCGCTGTTTTCCTTCTCTCCTTCCTCCTCTCCCTCCCCCTCCTCCTCTTTTTCCTCCTCCTCCTCCCTAAGTGTACAGACAGCATCACATCACCTGGTTTGCTTCTGAGAAACAGCATCTCTCCTTTTCAGGGACCAGAGACTCAGAGAGAGGAGACGTTCTAATGAAGTCTGCTTGATACCCCAAAATAAAATAATAAATTGTGGCTCTTGTCCCCTCCTCCCACCCCCACCCCCTCAACCCTGTGTGAGATGTTGGGTTTCTTCTTCATGAGACATTGTTGAGAAGTCGCAGTGGTTGGAGAGGCGTAGGGGGCAGACTACCTCTGCTCCCCCCACACCCCCCTTTTTTCTCTCCGGGAGGAGGAGGAGGGGAAGGGGGCTTGCAGAGCAAGCAATGGATGAGGAAAACATGACGAAAAGCGAGGAGCAGCAGCCTCTGAGTTTGCAAAAAGCCTTACAGCAGTGCGAGTTGGTCCAAAACATGATAGACCTGAGCATCTCCAACCTGGAAGGGCTTAGGACCAAATGTGCTACTTCCAACGACCTCACACAAAAAGAAATCCGGACCCTGGAGGTAGGTGTTGCCTATGGAAAGAAAGCCATCCTTCCTTCCCTCCCCCTTCTCCCCCACCATCCCCTTTCCCTTGATTCTGTTTGTTGGGGGTGGGGTGGGCGGGTGGGAGGGTAGCAAGGTGGGCACGATTTGGTCTCCTGTGATTTATCTTGCAAAGCCTGCACTGGGTGTCCCTTTACTGTACTGCTGTCGTCGGCGCTTGGCTGGGTGGTGGGAGGAGTAGTAGTAACTGTTATTCTTTATTATTATTCTTGCGGCTGTGGTTATCATTCGCTTCCTCTTTGAGGAGTGAGTTCTCCCTTTTTTCCGCTTGTGAATTTGTTTATATGCCACGGGGGCTTGCTTGTGTGCTGGGTAAGACATTAAGGCGCTGCAGAGAACCCACGTGACCTTGCGCATTCTGCAGGTGGTCAAAAGGTGCTTTTTGCTCGCAGAATGGGGCTGCCTGTAAAGATAGACCTCTTCTTTTTCGGCCTCCTTCCCAGCCCCCCTTTTGCTCCTTGGATTTGGTTTGTTTGTTTGCTTGTTTGTTTTCAGTAATGTACATGTCAGGAGGCAAGATGCATGAAAAAGAATTCCCCATTGAGCTACCCATTTCCAGTCAAATCATTTTGATTCAGGGAGCTGTTGCAGGCCTGTAACGTGTTAAAACACAAAAAAACAAAAACAACCCTGGATCAGCACACACAGGTGGTGTGGGAAAATACTCTGAATCTCGGTAGGACCGTGCAAAAAGGGGTCAGCAGTTTTATCTTTGGCGTGTTGTAACATTCTCTCCAACAGAACTTGAGGGGGAGTTTGAAGCAATTTCGTGGGGGGGATGGGGGGGGTGGATGCAAAGTTACTCAGAAAGAAGATGGCAGAAATTATTTCTTCCGAAGGCCATCTGGTCAAAGGAAGAAGGTTTCAAGAGCTTTAGAAAATGCCTGGCGTCCACGTAATCATTGAGCATCCACGTTGTTCGAAACATCTCTAGGGTTCGACTCACATCCCTCCCTCCAACCGGCCCCGTGCTACGCACGGCTTGATTAAATTTGGGAACTCCCATTAGCTGGCACCTGCTGAGGGTGGTGGCCATGGGGCTGGGAGGAAAGGAAGGTGGTTCTCCCTGTGGTGACGCGGGCGTGTGCAGAGCTGGGATGGCCACTAGTTTCCAGCCCGTGTGTTTCCAAGGCCTGAACTCTTTAATCCCTACTGAATCTTTTAGCCCTTGCGCCCCCATTCTAGCCTGGATGAGCATCTATCTCTGGTTCACTTTCAAGTCTTCCTTTTTCCTCCGTGGTTTTAAATTTGGCTGCATGTCAGCAGGCAGGAAGGTCACCAGTTTGAAAGTGGAGTTAGTGTGTGTGTGTGTGTGTGTGTGTGTGTGTGTGTGTGTTGAGTATGCTATTTGCTCCCCTAGAATGCATCTCTGTGTGCACCTGTCATCTGGGAAAATGATCGTCAGAAATGAAATAACGTAAGTATCAAGGGGTAGCAGAGGCGTGGGAATTCTGTGGGGAGGCACACAGGTATTTTCTTTCTCGGAGCTTTGGAGAACCGTGTAGGCTAGGACTCCGCTGATGGAAGAAAAAGTGTGGGATGCCCTGGCCCAGCCTTCTGTCTCTGTCTGAGCAGTGCCCAAGAGAAGATTCTGTTCAGAATTGCATGTTGTAAATAAATAACCCAAAAGGGCCACCGGAGGTCTCTTCTGTTCCTCTGAGTCAGGAGTCCCAAATGCTAGTTTGTGTATTACTCTGTAAGTTTCTCCAGTTTTCTTTTCCTCTTTCCAGCATGCTCCATCCTCTGAGAGCTCCCTGGATCATGGTGATCGTTGTAGTGGGCCACGGATTCCATTGCTTCTTTTCTGCATAGTGGTTTTCTTTTTAAACTGGGGGATGTGGGCATTGGTATGGTGGGAAGTGACAGTTACTGGGAATGCATCTGTTGTTAGTTTCCTAATCCCAGTATGCCACAGAGTGTGCCCACGACTTTATCCATATTGCCCAAGAAAGGATCTTGAGCAGTTATGCCAGTTGAGGCTTCCTAGGCCTCTAGGGCTAGGGTGGGGCCTCTGGGGAGGGGCTCATGCCTTAGGGTCCAGACGAGTGCTGCCAAAGCTCTCATAGGTTTTGGATCCACAGTTGTTGTTTTTAAACCCCAGCAGTTGTCAAACTTCATATATCAGAACCACCTGAGGGAGCTTATTAAAAATGCAGATTCTCAGCCTCTAATCCCAGAGATTCTAATTCCGTTGGGATTGGAGGGGGCCTAGGGATCTGCATTTAGCAAACAGTCCAGGTATTTCTGATGCATGTTTTCATATTGACACTTTGAGAAAGACTAATCTAATAGGAGATAGAGGCCATATTTCAGCTATTTGATGATGACATCTCCCTGCTCACAAACCCTAAAGAAAGTAGTAAATTGAACAGACCATCCCTGGAAACCTTGCCTATAACCCCTGTGGAAACAAAAAACATCTGACATGGGCTTAGTCTCCAAGAAGCGTACTTTCATGGTGAGGGAGACAAGGCTAATGATGTGTATGTAAGATAATGATAAAGTCCAAACAGTAATATGGGAGACAGCATGTGGGTCCGTTAGGAATGTGTTCAGCTGCGTGAAATGGAAAATCCACCCAGCGTGGTTAAGCAATTAATGGTTTATTTTTCTCATGTAGCAAGAAGTCTGGAGGTATGTAGCTGCTTGAGTTGGCTCAGTGAGTTAATAACATTGGGGCTGATGTCTTCGCGAATTCTCATGGCCTCTTCCTTATGGCCACAAGATGGCCCCTGAAGCTGTAACCATCACACCCAGGTTCAAGGTGTGGGAGAGGGGGACCAGGTGAATAGGGAGGAATAAAGCCTTCATATCTCTGTTTGGTTTCCGCAGGACACCTCTGCCTTCCTACCCCTAAGGTGATGTTTCATTATGTCTTCTTTGCCAGAACTGGGTCAGATCACTTGTCCGAGCTGCAAGGCAGTGGGGATACCACCGTGACTGGTTTAGATAGTTGCAGTCCGTTTCCTGGTTTGACCTGTTGCTACTCCTTACAAAATCAGGGTTGTGCTAGCATGGAAGAAGGCATGAAGGGACATTGGGTGCACAGCCAGCAACGCTGGCCACAGTATGTTACCAGGAGGTACTTTGGCAGAGAAGAAAGGTCATGAGTTTTGGAGTTAGACCGATGTAGTTTGGCATTCTAGCTTTCCTACTTACTTTATCTTGGCCTAGTGATTTAAATTTTCTGACCCGTGGTTTCATTTTTGGCAAAATGGCAGTGAAGGAATAACATTACTTACCTCAGAGGTGGTGGTAAGGATGAAAAGAGGTGAGATTTTCAAGGGTCTAATGCTATCTGTAGCCCAGTGCCTGCAGGTGCTAAATAAATGATAGCTTCTTTGATGGTGATGATTAGCATTACATGGTGTAGAGTAGATGACACGGAAGGGAACAGCTCAGACTGGAGGGAGAGAAGAAGGAGCTTAAGCAGCATTTCCAAAGTATGTTCTGTGGAACCCTAGCATTATCACTCTTTCAACAAATACTGAAATCCTGGCACTGTACTAGATGCTGGTGGTCAGCAAGTATTCTGAAGGCAAAATAAATCCCATGGTTAACACATTTGGGAAAGGTTGAGGTAAGCAAAAGAGATAGGTATCTTGACTGCAGGACTTCTCAGAGCCTTTAATGTGCTGTATTTGTACATTGTGACTCCAAGAGAGGGTAGCGTCTGCGGTGTTTCCTTTTTCCAGAGATGTCTCTGGGACTTGATGTTCCATAGAATGCACCCAGGGAAACATGTGATGAAGTGGTTAGGGAAGCATCCTTGACTGGGGAGCTGGGGACCCTGAGTGGAGTGAGGTATGGGGAGGGTTTAAATTGCAGCGTGTTGGGGGAGCTCTCTGGGCCAGAGCAACAAACCGGATGGAGGCATTCTCCTGCCTTCAAGTGGCAGCTTACAGACCGGCTGGCCCAGAATGGAGAGTACCTGGTAGAGTGTCATAGGAAACGAATTCAGGTTACAAACTCCTGGGGTGTAACTTAGGATCAGGAAGTCAGACAAACAAAGTTTCATCCCTTTGAGAGGGGAGATAGAAATCTTCAAAGGTTTTGGAGTGAGTACAATTAAAAAGTTGTTTCAAGGTTAGTCTGATGGCAGCCTGCAGCAGGGACCAGCAAACCTTTTCTGTAACGGGGCAGATAGTAAATCGTTGAGGCTTTGTAGGCCGTGTGGTTTACATCACAACCACTCAGCTCTGCTGTTGTAGCCTGAAGCAGCCACGGACAACCCAGAAATAAATGTTTTCTAATAAAACTTCATTTAGGGTCCCTGAAATCTGAATTTGATATAATTTTCACATGTCACGAAATAGTATTTTCCTTCTAATTTGTTTTTTACATTTAAAAATGTAAAAACTATTCTTTGGTTTCGGGCCTTAAAAAAACAGATGGTGGGTCAGACTTGGCCCGTGGGCTGTAGTTTGCTGATCCCTGATTTATAGGGTGAGAAATGAACCTGGAGGCACAGAGGCCATCTGAAAGGTGAGTGAGTGGCACTAGGGCTGGTGGGCACTGGCCACGTGCAGCTGGTACTGAGTTGGGTTCTATTTCGGTTAAGTTACAAGTGGAGGTAAATATCAGGGATTGGGTTGGGGGATGGCTAAGTAACAGAATCTCCTATACAGCGAGGGTGTTCTAGCCGTCACATATCTATTATTTGTTCTTTATCTGTTCCATCGCAATGACTGATTATGGTTTGAGAGACCATACCTAGACTTAATTTAAGTTTGGGAAACTGGACCTCAGATAATAACGCATTATTTTCAGTGATGCTGTGGGTTGGGATTGGCTGGGCAGTTCTTTGGCTCGTCTTGCAGACCAGTAGTTCTGGTCATCCGGCAGCCCCGCTGAGGCTGAATGGTCCAAGATGGCCCTATTCATGTGGCTGGTGGTCGGCTAGTGATTGGTTCAGGCACCTCAGTTCTCTTCCACATAGCCTCTCCAGCAGGACAGCC